TGAATTATGAGGTTTTCACTTTGGCTAGTGGGAACAGGAACTAGTCCCTGCTTTTTGAGACCTGCTATTGTTCTCTCAAATACTTTCTTGACCTTGGGCAGTTACCTCTCACTAGGGAACTAAGCAATACTCAGCCCTGTACTGAAGTTGGGGAAACCCTAGGAAGAGCTTCAGAGTTCTCTCCTGGACTTCTCCTTCCTCGCTGGTATTCTGCCCCGTGAACTCTAGCAGCCTTGGTCTCCCTGAACTCTCGGCTCTGTCTTCGCAATGCATGCAGTCTTCTGCACTCTGTCTGCATTTCCCCTCAGTGCCACAGCTTGGAAACTCTTTCCATCTAATACACTGGGCACAATCATAGGACTCACCTCATTCATTTGTGACTTGCAGAGTTTGCTGTCCTTCTTTGCCTGATGTGCAAAGTTTTGAAAAAGTTCTCTCAGATGTTTTTCCCACCTTTTCATTATTTTGCGTGAAAGTGTAACTTACATAATCTAGTATCTGTTACTCCATCTTGGTCAGAAACACAAATCATGAGCATTAAAATTGGAGAAGCGCTGCTTTTCCATGGGACATCTCTGCTGATCTCCCTGAATCTTTTCTTCTTTAGCCTGAACATCCCCAGATAATGCAACTGACATTCTCCTGGCATGATCCCTATGCCTATGTGAATTTATTTTTTTAAAATGAATGCTTAGCCACATCACCTGTTGTGGTAGTCCTGCAGTTATTTTTCAGAATTCTTTGTACTTTATATGTCGATTAATTGCCACCTAATTTGTTTCAACCCATCATTCAAAGCGTTCAATACATTTAGGAAAAATATGACATCATCTTATTGTAGAAATTACTTACAGTTCCATATTGTCTGAAAATCTGATAAACCACAAATTAATTTCATCATCCAAGACACTGATAAAATTATTGATCATAGTGGTGAAGACATTCTTCTGAGTTCTTTTCCCAGACTGGCATTGATCCATTAATTGATATTTTGCATAGAATCATTTAACCAAATCACGAATCCACCTACTGTATAACCATTCAATTTGTGTTTGTTTACAGAGATATCTTGTCTTTACCAAAGTTTTAATGATATTCAGAAATTGTGTTTTGAATGCTTAAAAATGTGTATTGAATGAAAATGCTAATGGTAATTGTCTCCTGGTGGTGGGATGAATAGTAATCTTTATTTTTTTAATATTTTTTGTCATTAAGATTGTTTTATGTCAGATTAATTTTTATAATATGATAAAATAAATTCTAAAAATTGTTTCTCTGTTTTCAACATCCCCCAATCTATCTACTGAATGACTTAGAATAATAGAAAAGAAAGACTGTAGCTGACTTTTTATTAGTTAATCTTCCTTAATTCCAAATGATCATATTTTCAATTTAAAAATCTTATAAATCATTCCTTTAATTATCCATTTCAGAATCTTTCTACAACTTTTTTCTCCTTTGGAAATGTGGGGTAGTACTGATCTCTCATCTCTGTTCAATATATTGCCTTAAGTTGCACTAACTGAGGCTGGGCAATTTCAATTGTAAGTTCTCAAAAATTCTCAGAGTGGATTTCCCCTAGTAAAGGTTCCCCACACTCATAGGGAATCCTGATTTCTTCCCATTTAGTCAGTGAACTTTCACTGATATTTATTTTATCCAACCTCATTTATGGGTCATTTTTAAAATTACTATTTTTCAAAAGAAACTTTTAAGGTGAAATTAGTTAAAGCATTTTATTTTTATTCTGTTGATATTTACTGTTGACTAATTGGCACAAAGGCCTATTTTTCTTTCTTTTTCTTGCTTTTAGTAAAGAAGCTCATCTACATACAAATACATTAAGTTTTCTAAAGGCTCTCCTCAAATATAACTGTGCCCATTAATGCTGTGTGTTCATGTGGGAAAGGGTGATATGCTTCTGATCCGTAGCCTGATCTTGTTCATGATATATGAAGTGTTATAAGGTTGAATTTTAAAAGTTGCTATGTTAGGGCTGTTAGCATAAGAACTATCAAAAAATCAACAGTATTATTTTGTACTATAATAAATAGTACAAAAGCTCCAAGATATAACACCAAAGTGTATGTTGTCTAATCAGATGTCTGGCGCGACAGCCTTCTTTGTGAAGTTGCCTCCATCTTGCGGTGTGGGTATCTTACAGGACCTCTTACTGAATCCTCTGCATTTGCCTGGGTAACAAGCAAAGACAGAATGCAAGAGATCAAATTTCAAGTTCCCATCTTGCATGGAAGAGAGTCTGAGACTCCTTTCCTTAAGGCCAAGATGAGGAAAGAGAGATCAAGGAGCATCTTGCCAGATTCAACCACAGGGGAGGAGTCATTTCAGATTGCTCTTACTGTTTAGCATGCATTCTAGCACACTGCTGAGAGTTTCTAACGTGTTTGTGTCCTTTGGTTATACTTGCTTGTCTCCATCTTTTGTTCATTTCTAGTCCATTCCAGTACCTCACTGCAGAAGTCAGCATTACTCTGTTCCAGGAAGGTCCTGACCTGACCAACTTTTCCCTCATTTTTCTGTTAGTGTCATTTCCCAATTTGATGGCTGGACAAAGAGGTATATTCCCATCCCATTTAGATTCTTCCTTAGGCTAATGTGAACCAGGAATGCTGATTCCATCTCACGTCCTGAAAATATCATAACACACTACACACACATCCACATCCACACACTACATGTATGCATATTGCTGCTAGCAAGGGGTTGATTCTTTGCTTATGGTTTTTGTTCATTTTGTTTATGGTTTTGTTATAAACTTCTTCAGGGAAGAAATGTAACAGGAAAGTGTTCTATCTTCTGATTCAGGAGCCTTGTTGTGTGTGTCTCTTTGGATAAAGAAAGTCCTGGTAACTCAAGCAAACTGATCCAGGTGTTTGATGGGAAAACCCTGCAGAAAGTTGAGTAAATTCCCTATTTCTCCTTTTCCTTTCAGCTGCCCCTTATGAGTGACAATGCTGCATGAGATCTTGCTCTTGAGATCTTGAGATGCCCATTAGGATTTGAGAGTGCAGCCCTTTGCACATTATAGATTTTTTTTTCCAGCTTCAATGAGGTATAATTGACAAATAGAAATTGTATATATTTAAGGCATAAAATTTGATTTTTGCCATATGTATACATTGTGAAATTCTCACCAAAATCAAGCTAATTAATATATCCATCACCTCACATAGTTACCATTTTCTTCCCTTCCTCCTCCTCCTCTCTCTCTCTTACCCCTCCCCCTCTCTCTTTTTCTTTCTTTTTTTCTTTTGCGGTGAGAACACTTAAGATCTACTCTAAAAGCAAAATTTCTAGTATAAATATCGTATTGTCAACTGCAGTGATGATGCTACAAATTAGATCTCCAGGACTCATTCATCTTGCAAAACTATAATTTTGTACCCTTTGACCAACATCTCCCAATTTCCACCCCTCAGCCTCTGGCAACCACTGTTCTACTCTTGGCTTCTATGAGTTTGACTTAATTTAGATTTGACATCTAAGAGATCACGCCCTATTTGTCTTTCTTTGTCTGGCTTATTTCACTTAACCCTAAGTTCACTCATGTTGTCAGAAATGGCAGGATCTTCTTTTTTAGGGCTGAATAATATTTCATAGTACGTATATATCACATATTCATTATTCATTTACTTGTCAGTGGTCATTTAGATTGCTTCCATAACTTGATTATTGTAAATAATGCTACACTGAATATGGGATTGTAAATATCTTTTTGAAATCCAGATTTCATTTCCTATGAATATATACCTAGAAATGAGATTGCTGAATTTTTTGAGGAACTTCAATACTGGTTTCCACAATGGCTATACCAATTTACATTCTCATCAACAGTATACAAGGATTCTCTTTACTCCACATCTTTGTCAACGCTTACCTTTTGCTGATGAGAGCCATTCTAACAGATGTGAGGTAATACTTCACTGCAGTTTTGATTGCATTTCCCTGATGATTAGTGATGTTGGGTAATATCTTTGAATATACCTGTTTGTCATATGTATGTTTTCTTCAGAAAGATGTCTATTCATATCTTTTGCCCATTTTTAAATTAGGTTATTATTATTATCATCATTATTTTACTACTGAGTTATATGAGTTTCATATATATTACTAAACAAGACTCTCGGGTTTGTTTAAAGTATCAAGTGTGAGTAGTTGGCAGAGTTAAAGAGTTTGGTGATCTGTAGCTAGACTTATTCCAAAGACCTTACATACTATGTTTGCAGCTTCTGTACAAAAAAAAAAAAAAAAAAAAA